TCTATCCTATACTATATTTTAATTTAAAGAAAAAAGATACTCTTAATAAAGAGATATTTAATCTTTTGAGTAGCGTTTTTTAATAGCTCTACTTTAGAGCTAGTTTATACCTTAACTATGCTAACTAAGTATCTAATAGGCCTACCTAGGTAAAACTACTATTTCTTAGATTTAAAATAATATAGCCTGATTAGGAATGGCTTTAGTATTTAGCTAGTTATACTAGTTTAAAAACTAGAACTTTTAAGAACACTTTTTTCGTATATCACCCCTCTGTACTATGTTAAATAGCTGTGATAATATTACAAATTTGGTGCGCTGGTGGGGAGTGAGCCACTCGCTTGGGTGAGCCACTCGCTTGTGAACTACGTTAAAAGTTAACCTTCTATATTTTATAAATTAATTACCGCAATTACTTTCTTATTAGCTATTATAGTGGTAGAGATATTACGTGTTGAAAATGATGGGCGGATATTTTGATGGGGCAGCTAGTGTTGCATTGGGTGCACTGTTGCACGCACTGACCACATCCAGTAGGGTTCTCGGCGCCTCGCGTTGTAGTCGGAGTAGACAACCACCGATCCCGAACGGCCGAGGTCTCGGTATATTACGATTAACGTTAGACATTTTGGTTTTATACACAATAGATTCCAATTCTAGCTAAGACTGGACCCCACTATGGAGGTGTGGCAGATGAGGTATTCGAGACGCGCGTTCGAGGCCTGTCGGTATAAAGATTGGGTGGTCCACGTCATGTTTTGTAACTTGCTATGGACTTTTGCACTTTTGGCCCGATCAGTTATAATATAGCGATATAGGCGATTCGGTCCCCTCCTAATCTTCAACAACAAGTAGAATGAGCATACAGGTGAGTGCAAGAAATTCTTACCAAGGAGTCCCAAGCAAGTCTTGCGCGAATGCGGCTTGTCTACTTCTAGAATAACACTCGTGCTTAACACTTTCTTGTTACTCTCTATATCACAAGTTGCACATCAGTTGCGTAAAGCTTAATTACACTGCTGATAACTCTCAGTCACGTTCGGGCCCGTTGCGGCCAACCGGGTGGGCTTTAGGCGGTATACCTAAGAAGAATGTTGACATCCCCGTCACCGTAGTCTTCCTCTTCTTATACATCATCGGCGCAGCGACACATATGACAATCTTCCAATACAACAAACGTAGAGGACACAAGTTCCTGTTCAACGGCGCGTTATTTGGTGAGTCTGCCCATGACCCCTTTCCACCATCACCAACACCACCTTAATGGTCTCATTTTATCTGTGAAGATAACAGATTCTCAAATTGACATGTATTTCTCATTCTAGGCTTCTGCATGACCCGTATAACAACTTGCACCATCCGTATTGCCTCAATCTCCCTCCCCGCCAACATCCACCTTGCTATCGCCGCCCAAATCTTCGTTGCAGCCGGGATTCTCCTCATCTTTGTCATAAATCTCCTCTGGTCACAGCGCATCCTCCGCGCCTACCACCCCCTCGGCTGGCACCCCTTTATCGGCTACATGTTAACGGCCATCTATGTCGTTATCGTCCTTACCCTCGTTATGCTCATCACGTCTATTGTACAGTCTTTCTATACGCTCCACCCGCGCACCCACCAGATTGACCGCGACATTCAGCTGTACGGCTCGACGTTCTTCGCGATCATCAGCTTCCTCCCTATCCCGCTCGTTGCAATCGCACTCATCCTAGGCAAGGCATCCTCAGGCCGCAAAGTAGAAAAGTTCGGCCAGGGACGACACAGGACGAAGATTGCCGTGCTACTCCTTGGTGCAACGCTCTGCTGCCTCGGGGCATCGTACCGCGCAGGAACATTGTGGTTGCATCCTGTATCTATGCACGAGCCTGAGCCGGCAAGGTTTTATAGGGGTTGGTTCTACTTCATGAACTTTGGGCTTGAGATCCTGATCATATACATGTATGCCATCATGCGCGTGGATCTAAGGTTTTGGATCCCGGATGGGGCAAAGGGTCCGGGGAGCTATAGGATGAAGCATGAGTGGGAGGAGGAGCATGCTCGGACGAGGCTGTCGGATAAGGAGAGCTTGAGGGAGACGGAGAGGAAGAAGAGTGCGGAGGATATAGGAGAGATAGAAAGGATAAAGAGGGAGAAGGGATTTGAGAAAGAGAAGACGCGAGAGGGCGCTGAAGCTTGAGGTTATTTACCCTTCTCTGTCGATAGTATCCCAGACAAGCAACGTGGTGCACAAGCGAATCGGTTGCCCAAACAAATCGGTCGCGCCCCACTAGCGCGTTAACGTCGACACTACATCACGTTATGTCTTAATATAGTCACTTGTTAACTCGTTCTAAATTGAACCTTTAGCTCAACGTACCCTACGGCTTCGCGAGCCACACGGGTTCGCGAGCTACTTTTACTAAGTCCTCACCAAAACCACGATATCAAAGCCTAACATAGTCCAATTTATCTCTATATACTCCACTATTATATAATATATTCTTCCAATACTACTTTTACTACTTCATTAACCTTAATATAATATAAGTAATTATCTCTAAATAGAATCTTAGAAGATTTATTAATATATTAGCTTAAATTGGATTATCTAGTAAGGGTAAAGTGTTACACGGGGTCTGGAGTGCTAATACTTCTCTGGCTCGATCCGGGTTAGGGCGAGTAGGATTGGGTTAGCGCCGTGAGAGTTGCCTGGC